TTCCCAACCCCTTTCTGCACAAATCCTGCTGTGCCAGCCTTACTCGTGCCGGTGGGAGGAAATTCCTGATCCCTGCCAGGCTTTGAAGCTACGGTGGGGGCCTTGGGCACTCTGGTCCAGCTGGTTTTCCACCCTCCCCGGCTCCCTTGCAGCGAGCCCTGGCTGCATGTTTGTCTACAGGGAAAATGTGCAAAAAAGCAGCTTGTGTGTGGTAGGGTCACGGCGCTCCCCTTGATCCAGCCTTCCTGGGAGGGATTTTCCACTTGAGGTTCAGCACAGCTCTTAACCTCGGCACGTTACGGCTGGATTTGAGCCCTGCCCTCCCCAAACCCCTGCTTTTTCAGCGCATGTGCTGTTTTCTTTATCTTCAGGGTGCAGAGTTACCCACCCTCTTGCAGACGGGCTGTGATGGCTGGGGACGGTGCTGTGTGACTGCGGAGCTGGGGTGGCTGCCATCAGCCTGAAAGTCAGGCTGCGATATGTGCAGAAACATCCCCCTGCATTGAGCAAGCTGTTTCAAATAGACTTTCCATCAGGGGGTTGCTCAGCAATATCTTCTTTTCTGTTTTTTTTTTTTTCTTCTGTTTTTTTTCTGCTGAGAGGCTAAAACGCGTCTGTGAAGTGCTGCCAAACAAATAAATGAGGGCAGAAAGGTACCCGCTATTTATTTTGGCTGGCGGAGCTGTGTGCTGGGGTATGGGAGGAGGAGGAGGGTGAGTCAGCGTTTCAATGCAGCAAAGATCTTCAGTCAGGCTGCTGCAAGCGGAGGTTTCCCTCTAGAGGAACACGCCATCCTCCGCGTCTTGTTTCCTTTCACCGGGTGCTTCCAGCATCCTTCAGCAGAGAGGGAAAACGGGGCTTTTTTGTGGGGTGGGTTATTAGTGGGGAGAGCAGGTCTGGTGCCAGCGCCGGGCTGCTAACCAAGAGAGGGGATGCTCGTGCTGAGGAAAGGGGTTGAACGGTGAGGGTGCAATTGGTGCTTTGAAAACCCAGAGAAAGACACGGGCTCTGATGCCAGGAGTTTGCGACTGAGAGTGGTTTGTGCAACCCCTGAGCAAGTCCCGGTGGATCCCAGCAAGAATGGGGATGGTCAGTGAAAGGAAACTTCAGTAGGGGCTTTTAGGGGAGGAAAACCAGAATCTGACAAAAGAAGATGGATTTAAGTTCTGTCTTTATATCTTTAGCTTGGCTTGGGCTGCACATGCTGGGGGAGGATGATATGGGACCACTGCCTGACAGGAGAGATCTGGATCCTCCTGCACCAGTGCCAGGGGCTGCATTGCTTCTGGTTTGCTTTCTTCCAAGAGAAGATTCATGTTCACCCACCTTGTTCCCCAGGCAAAGTGCAGCCTTCATTTTGCTGCATCGTGACACTGATGTGTAGGTCACGGCAGGCAAGGGGCCATCAGGGGCTTGCTGAAGGTATCATCCTACCTCCTGATGACCTAGACCGCACAGGCAGCAGCTCAGGGCTGGGACCAGCTTGCTGGCATGACCCAGAGCTGCTCTTTCTCGGCAGGCCCAGCACCCCATGAACCCCATCATGGCATGGGGAAAGAAGACATGGTCTTGGGTGGGTTTGAAGAGACTTCGAAGCTGTTCTTCCATGTGTATGGATGGGGATCAGTGCAATGCAGGGCACTGCCCACCATGTCTGCCCGGGAGAGGGGCTGCTCTGATATCAACCCTTGGGGAAGCAACTTCAACCACTCAGTCTTCTGATGGCTGTGAAGGTTGTTAGCAGCAGCGCTTTACTAGGAGCCTGAAGCTGATTAATGCTCTGTAGCTATTTAGTGCTAGAACCCAGCAGAGCTGGCTGGATCAGGCCTTGGTTGCTCTTACTCAGCACTAAATACTATTTAAGCAGAATCACAAATGAGGGATGTTAATCCGGACCAAAACATTAAAGCAAGTGCTAGCAGAAAGGAGCAATTGGAGGAGCAAGCAGAGGTAGGGCAATGGCATGTGCTCTTTGGAGCTACCCTGAGATCATGGTGTTTCAGGTTGGACTGTGTCAACTTCACTTTCCAGCTGGAAAGGAAAATTTGCTGTGTTTTTCCCTGTTCCACCACAGAACAAACACATTTGTGGATCTTGTGAACTGACCCAATTGGACCTTGGGTCAAGGGCAGCTGCGCTGCTCTTCTGGAGAGCTTAAATTTGAGGGTGATGAGGGAAAAAAAGTCAATTTCCAACAAGTATCAGCAAACAGGAGCCTGTCCTCCAATGTGTGTGTCAGATGAGGAGCATGGAGCCACCCAGCAGCTGCAGGCGTTTGTCCACACCTTCTGCATTCAGAAAACCAGCAGAATTGAGGGACCCTGTCAGTACAAGCCATAGCCTTGAGACCTTTGGGGTGGCAAACACCAAATAGCAGTGACAGAGAACTGAGGAGAGATGGGCTGCCCTGTCTCTTTGCACAAACGCTGTCATTCTGCACCACTTCTCCCTCATGGATGGTCTTTTACAGAACAGCAAAGATGCCCCGCGGATGGTCTGGAGTGGGCCTTGTGCTGAAAGCAGGATTCAGATGTGGAGCACCCCAACCACATGCCAATTCTCAGGTCACAACATGCCCAGAGAGGTTGGCACCCAAGCAGAGAGCGGCTGCTGGTCTCTCTGCGGTGGTTTGTGCCTAAAGGTCCATCAGCTTCTTCCATCGCTTCTCCTGGAAATTTTCTGTGATCACTGAGAGCTCAAAACACCTGGGAAGAGCTGGGCCACTCAAAGGTATCTTCTGTGGAGGTGTGTGCCTGGCTACCCACAGTGGGTTTTCCACCCTGCCACACAGCAGTGGTCTGAGCAGGGAGAAGACGTGGAGACACGGTGGAGCACGGCCAGGCTGCGGGGACAGGGATGGGCACCTGCGCCACAGCCACCACTGCTGCTTAGTGACAGCAGGAGAGGGCACCCACGAGCTGTCTCTGCCTGCAGCACCAAGTAAGCTGCAGGTTTGAGGGGAAATGAAGGTTTCGAGGCTTTTTTGTGTCTGAATTACTAGTTCTGCTAAGTAGTATCTGGCGTAGTGTCTGATGGGTGCTGGAGTTGAGCCCATTGCACTCAGCTGGTTGCTGTGCGTGTTACCTACCTAAAATCTGGGCCGGGGGGACTTTGGTGGCATTGGTTGCATGAATAGGTACCTTTCCAAGGTAGCTGCTTAGAAGATGGTACATGAAGGGGCCTTTGAAGCTGTCAGGAGTGGGAAGAAGTGGGTCCTACCGTGCTGCAGCAGTGTGCACAGGCTCCTGCCCATCCGTGCCTCACTTGCAGTCCAAGACATGCCACTGACATGTCACCCTGCCTGTTTTAAAAGCAACCGATGCTGCCTGCACCTTCACACATCGTTAACTTTTGCCTCAAGATGGCATTTTTGCGCTTTAAAATACGTCTAAGGCTTTTTGTGCATTTATAATAACGGATGAAAATAGTCATCCAACCAACTTTGCCATTTGCCAGCGCATTGACCGGGATCTTCCAGTGCCGCCCGTGACCCCTGCCAGCAGCTCGGGTGAGGCAGGGAAACACTGTGATGTGTCCTCAGGGCTGGACATAACCCCTGCATATTGGCAAAGCAGTTTCTTTAGTCATTCCTCCTTAAACTTTGATATGCCCAGTGCTGGCCATATTTCTCCCAAACCAAAACTGGGGTCTCTTTGAAGCTTGGCTGTCATGGACGATGAAGAGGGAAGTAATCTCGCTGGCTTTGTTACGGGGTAGCATAGGTGCATGTGGCAGTGCTGGGTGCCCCCATCCTGGGGGTGGGATTGCTCCTGGCAGGAGTGAGTCAAGGGGACGGGGACTCAGGAGGAGGGAGCTTGGTGTTCTGACTGCCACTGGTGCATCCTTTGTGGTGTGAAAACTTCCGACATGGCCAGCCCCTGCCTGGCAAGTCTTACTCAGGGGTGGTGATGCTCATTGCTGGAGGAGATCCCAAAGGAAGATCAATGAAATCCAAAGGAAAGGTTGGTGTAGTCCCTCTTGAAAAGGCAGCAAAGAACTGGCTGCCTGTGTCAGGGGGACGTGGAGGAGGAGACAGGCAGTCTGAGTTCGAGCTGTGCTGAATCCCTTCCTACTTGGGGTCCCCCGTGGGGGTTCAGGCATCTCAGGACCTCAGGCCAGAAGTGATGTGGCAAAGGGCGTGCAGAGATGCTGGGCAGAGTCAAGAGTGGAGCCAGGGCCACATCCTGGCCACGTGCTCCCTCCTGCTCGGCTCTTGTTCCTTGTCTGCCCGCAGCCTCCTGTGCGGGAGGGAGTACCGCATCCGCTGTCGTTCTAATGTGCTGCCAAACAAGTAATGAGGCACTGGGGGAAACTGGGAGAGACTCACTCCTGCGTGCTCTTACTGGCTCAAGTAATCCTGATGCAAGAGCCCAGCCTGGCTCCTGTTGTGCAGCCTGCCCTTGGTACGTGCCAGTGCTGGCACAAAAAAAAAAGAGCCGAGTCCTTGGGCTGCAGGAGGTGGGAAAAACCTCTCGGGCTCCTAAGTCTTAGGGCTTGCTAAGGCAGAATGGGGAAATTTGGAGGACTGTTCTAGAAGGGCTGCCCTTTCCTTTTTGTCGTGCATGCCCTTTCCACGCCTTGACTCCATAATCATTGCTCTGCCTAACAAGAGAGACGAGTATGTATTTGATCATTGCATTGCTTTGAACCGAAGCGTTTGTAGTGTGTGTGGTGTATGCTTACAGCACTGTCACAGCATTAACCAGGAGGACTGTTTTGTCTTCCCTCCACAGCCTGGAAGTGTCTCCTCAGGTAGAAACCAGCTCAGATGCTCCTTCTCATTTTCCTCCCTGCTTCCCTGCCCAGTTTCCTCCTGCTGCTGTAGCCCATCTCGCTAGCATGCCAAGCGCTAACCTCTCTCCCGCTATTGGAGACACTCAGTCTGGATGCTTGTCCCCTACCAACCCATTCCTCAACTCCCTGCAGAGCAATCCCTTCTTTGAGGACCTCCTCGCTGACCAGGTACTAAATTCTCCTTCACCTACTCACTTTTTCTCTAGTTTCCCGTCTGGGCCGCATGCTTCAACAGAGGTCGCTGGGAGCTTTTATTCCTCAGAGGATTGCAGTCCCTCTGCCTCCCTAAGACATAAAGACCCGGAGAGGGAGTCTCCAGAAAAAAACGTTTGTGTCCCCGTACCAGAAACTACTCCCCCATCACAAGGAGACCTTCCTCCTCCAGAAGAGAAACCTGCCAACCCTCCTTCCCTCTCGGAGTGGGATGATACCTTCGATGCCTTTGCGACCAGCAGGCTCAAACCAGAACTGAAGAAGGAAAACTTCTTTGCTTCGGTGGCGGCAGAGGCCATGGCTTTCATCGATGATCCCGATGCAGCCAGCCCAACGGAGAGATTGGCTGAGCCACCTCATGAGAAGGGGACAAAGGTATTTGAAAAGGCTGATTCACAAATCAGCAGCGAAATGCCCACAACTCTGCGGTCTTGGACAAATTTTTCTGGTTTAGACGTGGGGGCAAACTTGGTGAGCACAACCCAAGAAGCAACTGTGATAGAGGATGTGCTGAGCCCCGTGTCTGCAGGGTCAATGGGAAGGAGGAGGAAAAGCAGCACGCCTACAGTTTGGACAGCTGCATTTGCGTCAGGAAATCCAGGGGAAAAAGAGTCTTCAACATCACTTACTGCTGAAAATAGTGCTAGGGAGGAAGGGGACAGCAATGAGGAGGAACCCTCTAGTGCAGGGACAAATGGATGGATGACCATAGCCACTGAAACCGCTCCTGACCTGTCAGAGAGCACCCAAAGCATGGCTGAGCCGGAGCACGTGGGTCAGCAGAGCACGTTCAGCCCACGGCCAGCCTTCCTCAGCGAAGGTGCCTTTGAAGCAAAGAGTGGATCTCGCGCCGCCGCTTGTGTGTTGCCCAGAAGCACCTTCAACCCTGAGCTCTCCTCTGAAACCCTGCCAGGCAGCAACGTGGCGGCCGTGCCCCCGCGGGTGCTCACAGATGTGGCAGCACGACGGTTCCCCATGGCCCCCCAGCCAGGGACAGAGCCCCAGGGTGCTGGTAGCGAGGAGGAGATGTTTGACATACGAACTTCAGTCTACCGACTCCAGGCGAGCATGCGGCTCGAGGCCAGCGAAGGCCGTGTAAAACTCAGCTCTGACATCCGCGAGAGGCACGTCATCCTCTCTACGCAGACAGGTACCCGAGGAAAGGAGGAGATGGCAGCAGGCTCGGCTGTGCCGCCCCCCAAACCTCCGAGGTGGTTTGCAGCTGTGGGTGGTGGAGGAGATGGTGAGGAGGAGGATGCTTGTGACCTGCAGCCAAGGCAGCGAGGCAGTGAGGAGCGATGGGAAGGTGTGGAAGGCCTGAAGGCAGACGTGGAGCTGCCAAGGAGCCGTCTGAGCAGCGAGCCCTCTGTCCCAGCATCTCCCAGCCTGCCCACACTGGGAATGGATGCACCTGAAGCTGGGAGCAAGTTCCTGGTCTCTGATGACGTCAAATCTGCAACTGCGGTCTCAGCAGCTAATTTGGACACAAGAGCTAGCGAGCTGGACAAAAAAGACACCTCTTTGGGGGAAGACTGGTCAGAAATGGATGAGACGGATACAGCTGAGCAGTTTGAGACTTGCACATCAAAATTCTCCCTAGATGCATTAGGCCAGTCGGGTGATAAGGAGAGCTGGAGCCAGCCAGGTTTATCCTCTCTGATGGGGACTGCAGACAATGCCAAGTTGGAGATGGCCTCTGAACGGGAGCTGTTCCCTGAGGAGCTAAGTGTGTCGGGACTAAACCCACCTTCCAAGTTAGACCTGGGCCAGTCAGAAATCTTCTGGACAGCTCTGGAAGAGCAGGAGGCAGCCGGTCACTCCACGGGTCTCGGCCCAGCTGCACGACCCCGAAGGTTAGCGCGTGGGGACAGTCCACGCCAGCCAGAGCTGGTGTGGGGTGATGGTGAGGGACAGCACGGGCCAGGGGCCAGCCCCTCTGGACAAGTGGGAGGCCAGCCTGAGCCTTGTGCCCCCGTGACAGTGGCTGGCCCTCCCCAGGGGGCAGAGCAGGGCAGAGCCCTTGCCAGCGAGCCCGAGGGGCCATGGCGCCGAAGCTCGGCAGACAGGATAGACTTCAAGAAGGCCGATTTCTGGAAGCCAGATAGGGCTGAGGAGAGGCACGAGCAGGATGTTTCAGCCCCGAGAAATCCCTTTTCTCTGGCGCTCAGCCCAAATTCCTCAAGCAATCCCTTTGTGGAGAAGCCACCAGACCCCCTCCCCGTTCAAGCTGTGCCGCCCAAGAGGCTTGGTCAGGGAGGCTTCAGCTTCACCAGCCTCCACGAGGAAGCCCTTGGGCAAGGCTTCCCACCCACTAACCTTCCCGGGGACCTGCTAGGCAAGCCTCCTTTCCTGCATGACAGCCAGCCCTTGGCCTTCTCCACCCCTTTCCTTGTGGCTGCAACTAACCCTAAACAGTTTGATTTCCCTTCCCCTGTTGCGTGCCCCGCGAGCAGCGGGGTCCCTGCCGCCACCAGCCATGCAGCCGCCCAGCCCTGCCCTTTGCCGCAGCCCGGTGACACACAAGCTTCAGCGCTCGTGGTTTTGCCCAGGGAGACACAGCCAGCTGAGAAGCCCTTTTTCCAGCAGACGACCAGGTGAGCACTCCGGGGAAGGCGAAGGGTGTGTTATTTGGTAGAGGTGAACCCTGTCTCCCTTCTGCTCTCATCGGGGGGGCCCATAAGTGGACCCCGGCTCAGTGTCAGCAGCTCACAGCTGTGCTGACTCCAAGGAGGCCACTCCACATGTTACTGCAGGTCCTCTTCCCTCACCTTCCTGTGGTCCCAGAGAGTCCATCCTGAACAGTTGAGAGCCTGAAGCCTTGGCTCTCGGTTCATGGTGGCGAATGGCCACTGGTGTCTTGTGTTTGCCCTAAACTAGGACAAACAGTTTGATGCATCCAAGACCTGCCCCAACTGAAAATTCACCCACAGTAGAACTGCATCCGCATTTCACTCAATGCTAATTTTGGCTCCATCATATTCCCTGTGCTTGCAAAATAGGTGCCTTTTCCATGTCTGCCAGGAGAGCTTCCAGCCATTAATGCTCTCATGAGTTCCTTCATGGCATGTGCGCGGCTACTGCCCTTCCCTTTTCATTAATTCAGCTTTGGTTTCTTTCCTTTTTAAATGACCATCAAGTACTAAAAACCTTCTTCTCTCCATAGCCAAAAAAAAAAAAAAGTTACACCGAGGCAGCGGCAAATTGCTGTTCTCCCCTCCCTCCTGCCGAGATGCCTATTGGTTTTGAAGCAAGTGGTACTCGCCTTAAGTACAATGGGAATGGGAGAGGGGGTACCCTGGTGGTGTATCAGAGGAAAGAAGGGGCTGTTCCTCCTCCCAGGTCAATCGTGGGCTTGTAGAAATGCCATGAAGCAGACGAAAGTGCTAAGTTTAGGTCATGGAGTCTTGCTCTATGTCCTTCATTTCATATAATTTTCCTGGTACACCTTCCCCTGGTCTGCGTGGGCGGGAGAAGATTGTCATGGGCTCTGTCTGCACTGAGTATCAAGGATCAAGCTTTTAAGGTTTATATGGGGACCTGGGTCTTCTGGCAGTGATTTATTTGATCAGCCTCACCTCTGCAACAGAAGGCAAATGGAGCTTCATGGAGGCACTGAAATGATAAAATCCCATCTGGCCCAAGAATAATATTGGTCATGGCCCCGGAGAGAGAGAGGGCAGGAGGATGGGGACAGCAGAACTTAGCTGATCTCGAGCCCTTCTGCACGGGGATCCCTCCTTGGCTCGTGTGTGGGTTTGACGTGCAAAAAGGCCTCCAGAGCAAAAATCAGCAAGAGATAGGTCTGATCGCTGATATTTGTTTTTCTTTATTGAGGCCAGATCCTCAAATAATTCTTAATCAGATTATTCATCCTCCAGCAGATAGCCTTGTTCAAAATTTGCAGATAGAGTGTGTACAGAAAACTAAATTTTGTTGATGTTTGTTATATTTCATGGAAAGAGAAGTGTCCTGCAATCCCGGAGGGTAAAATTAGGCAATGAGAGAATTATAGTCCCAGGACCCTCTATGTCAATAGTACACACTCACAGTCACCTTCAGGCTCAACTGTGCACCCATCCAAGGCCTGACTGGCTTGTGGGAGGAAAGTGGACTTGGACATAAGAGCTGGTCATAATGTTAGTACTGGCTTCTGTCATGATACACATCTGAGAAGGCCTTGAACACCTCTGCTCTGGTTTCTCTATCTGTAAAAGGTGTAAGTTTTGGATACTTGCTACGGTGATTGAAGAACCTTTGAAGAGTTACTGAGGTCACTATGGAGAGCGCTGAGGTTCTGCACTACTCTATAAGATTGGGGAGATGTGATGAATTGTCATGGGGGGAGAGACAAAAGCTGGCAGGGCCCTTTTCTGGGTCCCCATGGCGATGCGTGCCTTTTCTGGAATCATATCTTATTAGGATGATCAGTGGCACATAGACAAAGAAAAAATATGGTAGGAAAAAAGGTGGCAGGAAAAAGGAAAGGCTTCGAACTTAGATCAGGCTTAGCTGGAACAACAGTGTCTTTCATCAGATAAAGGAAGAGGTGGTACCTGGTGTGAATTATTGAGAGTCTGGTGTGCTGGGGTTATGGGCCCTCCTTGGGAGGGATGGAAACTGGATTTGAGGACACATGTCCTCTTCCCAGGTGGCCAGAGGTCTCTCTGCTGGTCATCTTTTTCAAGGAGGCAAGTCAGGTGGTAGACTTGTATATCTGAGTGACACCAGCACCTCCTGCCTAGTGTGTCTGGGCCACCACCTGGTCGCAGTGATCTGGGAGGTTGTTCCCTGCTGGAACAGCTGCTTTTTTGCCAGATATGAAGATGCAGCTGCAGAATTCAGAGTCTGGAAGAGTGCATGTTGGGATTGCATTTGCAGATCCTTCCCTGCTCTCCTGCAGCAAGGGAGGGCTCTCGCCATAAAACTGGTGCCACTGGGGTAAGGTGGCTGCTCAGAGCATCGGTTGCAACACTCAAGTGTACGGTGGCTTCCCTTTCCCTTCTTTGGGGAAGGCTGGGATGGTGCCTTCACTGCTGGGAAGATATCTCTGGTCACATCCCCTGGTACAGGTGGGACCTAAAGGACAGGCCATGACAATTATTTGGTGACTCCACTGCCTTGGAGGAACCCAGCAGTTTTGCAACTCCTTACCCATGGATCGGGAACTCAGAAATGTGGCTATTGCAGCATGGCACTTGCAGGTGACGAAACTGGCGATGTCACAGGTACAAAGATGGTATTGGCACACACTGCTTCGTGCCTTCCCAATGTCAGGAGTGCAGCAGAATCATCCTCTTTTGAAAATGACGTTTCAGGTTAAATCACATGCCAGTCTTGGTGATCTGAATGTATTCCTTGTGGAGCCCTTGAAGCTCAGAGAGTGGCTTGCCACATCCATAGATGGAGCTGGGAGAAAAGTTGCTGATCCTGAGTTCAATCATTCCCTTCCTTTCCGTAGACCCTTTCTCCATGGAGGTCAGGTCCTCAGGTGCTGTGTGCTGCTGCAGACTTACCCACAAGAGATTTCCTTGGACTTGTCCTGGTCTCTGTGAGAAGTATTTTAATGGGTTGATAAAGACATAATTTCTGAGTTGCTCTAGAGGAGTCTCCTTAGTTTTTCACTGTGCTCAAGTAATGACCTCGTGAGCATCGGTGAAAGCTGTGATGTGACACAGCAAAGCTTGCTGAGAGAGGGACCAGGGTTGTGCTGTTGTCATCCTGAGATGCTTAATCTTGAACATGCTAAGCTTCATCATAGGCTTATGTCCACTTGGAGATGCAGTAGTGGATTAGGCAGGCTGTCAGTGTGAGCAACTGATTCTACTCTCAAGTTCACATTCATCGATGGAAACAGGTCCAACTTCTCAGCAGATCCATGAGGACTTCAGACGTGGCTATGAGGCGTGAAGCTACCTCTGCTCGCCTGGAAGTACCCAGTGCTGACCATCCTGGGGCGGGATGCAGGTGGAGAAATGCCTCCTGCTTTTGAAGCTCTCAGAGTGACAAGTTGAGGGGGCAGAGCCCCTGCTTTGCTCAGCAGGAGCCCTCCACACACTCCCCTCTCAGTGGGAAAAGAATGGGGTATTATTATTTTTTTTTTAAATACCTTTTCCAGCTCTGCAGAAATTGATGTGTTCTCTCTGGCGATGGGGCTGAAAGCCACCTGCAACCAGGCCTGTGATGGGAAATGTCCCCCTGCTTTCAAAATGCATCCAAGCTATCGCATTGGCATCCCAAGGCTGTTGCTGGTTTTCATTTTGTAGAGTGTCCGTGGTAAGTTTGGTCCAAAAGAGGTCCCTTCAGCGGTTTAAAATGGTTTGAGTGTTCATGATGGCCCTGAGTGCCCTGCAGAGCTCTTGCTTAGGGGTGTCAGTCTCCTGATTCTGCAGCCGTACTCTGGTCTTAGACTCCGTACTGGCTGTGGGAATGCTGTGCATCCTTTCAAGCTGTAGGGGAACCCTTGTCCACGTGCTTGGACAGCTCTGGCAAGGGGTGTTGATCCTTTGGCTTGTTGGAGCTGGTCAGTGGCTACCATTGCTCTCCTCTCCTAGCAAATGGATGACAGGAGGCATCATTGTGGGTGAAGAGGACTTCTAGATGTGCCCTGTCAGCATAATGGGGAGATTGCTTGATACATCCTGATCCTGTCACCACTGACAAGGCACGAAGACACCACCCCTGAGGACTTGGGCCATCCACCTGATCTGGAGCAGCCTTGAAAACCCCCTGCTCTGCTTTTGAAATGGAAATAAAGCACAGCTGAGGGGTTACAGCACAAACTGGACTTAAGATGGGTCTGTCCCAGCCCAGGTAATGGCTCACACGGTGACTGTGGGCGTTATTCCTCCTGCCACAACCTGTCCTACCAACACCCTGAGGTCACCATTTGTAAAGAGAGACTGTGTTTGGCTGCCTTGCTTGAGAGCTCCTGTGTGCAAGATGTCCTCCTGCAGCATTGTGTGGGGGAAAAGCAGTTGGGATTATGCAGAAGCTTTGCAGAGCTCCTGGCTAGATTTTATCACCCTGGCTAGATCTTTTCACCCTGAGTATGGTGCACAGGTCTGCTTGTTTCTTGCAGGAAGCATCAGGTCACTTCTCTTTCCATCCCGGTGAAAAGCAAGCTCACTCTTTCTAAGCCCAGAAACAGTCTTTTTGGTGAAGAGTGAGGCCAAAATAAATGAAAAAACAATTCCTCCTTAATTGACAGAGAAGGTGCATTCAGATACAGTCTCATCACCCTCCCCTTTGGCTATTGGAGGGGCACAAATTCTGCGGTGTCTTCCAGGGGGGTGTAACTCAGCTCTTGGGGTGAGACAATGCAGGAACTGATGCACAGTGGTTCAGGAGCATCCCTGAAGCATCAGTGGTAACCCCAGACACCAATCTGGGGTCCTCTGGGCAGTGGATGTACCAGTCCTTGATTACATTGAACCTGGGTTAAATTTCCCCTGGCTGTTTGAACACCTGGCAGCGGGGACTTTAGACCCACAGCCCCTCTGTGTGGACCGAGCAGCACAGGAGTGGGCATGGGGATCTGTTCTGTGTCTCGCCCGAACACGTTTCCAGGGGCTCCTTATCTCATCTCTGGGTGGAAACAGTGCTGGAGAGTGCTGTGGGCTGCCTTCTCTGCAGGGTGCTGGCTCTCCTCTCTCTTCTTGGAGCAGGTGAGCTTTGAGCAACACAGACACAGAGGATTTAGCCGTGTGGAGCTGACTAAATTTGATGTCTGTCCCATCCCCTCAAGAACCACAGGGAGATGCAGCAGCATCATTCCCCAGCTTGAGAGGGTGTTAACTGTCCAACCTCCTTGTTCTCCTTAGTCCTCACCCAGTGAAACCCATCAGCGCTGCAGTGCAAGAGGTCTCCAGTGAGAAGAAGCAGCAGCACAGGTCCAGCCTGACGACTGCTCTGAGCAATGGCCTGGAGAAGCTGAAGACGGTCACCACGAGCAGTGTCCAGCCTGTGGCCCCATCCTCTCACACAGAGAAAACGGACTCAAAGAAGCTAAAGGTAGGAACCTACCACTGAGGGAGCTGCATTCCCACCTGCTTGAGATGTTCTGTAGTTGGTGACAGAGGTGCAGAAAACTGGTGTTTGAGGAGGTAGAATGTGGTCCTGCCACAGCGTGAGCAGAACCATGTGTATTGATGCTGGCATCCTTGATCCTGGTTGCCCAGCCTCTGGCCCTTCCTCCATGACCTGGTCTCTGGACCTTCTCACCCCATTGTTTTTCTAGCATTGCTTGCTTTGGTTTGGGGTTTTTATTGTACAGTGTGTGAGTGAATGCCTGGTTATCAGCAAGACACGAAAGACGTGGAGGATGTCATAGCTGCCTGACTGAAAGCCTGAAGGGTCTTCTCTCCTGACAGAGGCAGAGGGAAGGTGCTTCCTGGAGCCTTGCTCAAATGCCGCTTGCCTGGCTGTATTTTAAATGTTGGCATGTTGAGGCAAGTGAAATACCTGTGTGATATGTCTGAGGGCACAGTCTCACGGGGTTGCCTTCTCCTTCTCATTGTCTGCTGCTGCTCTGTTTGCCTCTCCAACTGGACATGTAAAATGCTGCTGCTGGGGTTCACTTGAGTGGACTTCCCCAGGGCTCTTGTTCTCCGGGAGCTCCTGATGGGTCTTTCAGCTCTTGAATGTCATCTTCTGCCATCATCCATCCAGGCCTGCTGCTGGAGGACTGGGGAAGGGGGAAGTCCCAGAGAGGGGGAATAGCTGATGCCAGGCTAATGGGCTCTGTTATGCCCACGCCCTTAACTTCTATCTGTTGGGGGAAGGAGGTTTTACACAGTTTTTGGGGAAACCCTGTTAAACAATTCACTCAGCTGGTGAAAGTCCTCAGCAGTCACCTCTAGTCATACGAGGGAGGCTGCATTGGCCTGGAGTCTGGGCAGTTTTTCTGTTTCCAGAACTCTGTAAAGACATGGTGTGACGGCTGCACAATGTGTCAGGCTCATCAGGAAAGAAGAGAGGCGTAGAAAATACTCATTGCTTTAGATGTTGCTGCACCTTACAAATGCTATAGGGAGCAGCGGTTTTCATTTGACTCACTGAATGTTCCTTTTGGTTTCTACCACAGGATCCTGCCATACTGGACCAGTCAGCCAAGTATTATCACTTGACCCATGATGAACTCATCCAGCTCCTGCTGCAGAGAGAGAAGGAGCTGAGCAAGAAGGAGGAGCACATCCATGAACTGGAGAACTACATTGACCAGCTGCTGGTGCGCATCATGGAACAGTCTCCCACACTCCTCCAGATTCCACTGGGGGAAAGCAAGACCAAGTAACCTCTCCCCAGAGACCAGCATCACTTGCCTAGAGCACTTCTCCAATAAACAGGCTGCAAACACCCCTGCACTCCCCCCTCCTCTTACGAGAGGGCTCCAGTGGCTTCTGTTAGCAGAGTTTAGCAGGAAAGATTATCTGCTCCTCCCCAGTCCAAGCTTATCCCAGCTCTGGCTCCAGGGAGCTATAGGGTGGTGGGCCGTTATCCACCCTGTGGGGAGGAGCAGAGCCCTCTACATGAGGCAGACGCCTCCTTAGGTTCCTGTTGTTGTGACCAAGCGGCCTCTTCTCAGGCACTTATCCTGCCAATGCTTTAAGAGCTGAAAACCACCCACCTCGTCTGTGTCTTCATCCTGCTACTGCTGCTCTTCTGCCCACACTCTTCCACATCTCTCATCTCTGAAGTGGTGTACCCTGGCTGATGGACAGTGTTAAATTGGTCGATGACATCAGGGATGCTTAAACTCAGTAAAGATCTACCAGCATGTTGCTGTCTGCTGAGCCTGCTCGCCAGGGCAGCTAGGGGAAGGGGCTCCTTTCCCTTCCTGCCCCATATGTTGTACCCACAAACAAAGAGTCTCCATTTGAAGAGGCAGCTCCAAGTTGTGCCAGTACCTGACCATATGGGAGATGCTACACAAATTGACAGTGCTGGGCTCAGAGGCCATAAAGGACTCAAGCCGATGTCACTGCCTGACTGAAGTGGTGTCGATTCCTTTGCTGTGTGCACAGAGTCCTGATGCTGCCTCAGTTACCCAGCTCAAAACTGAACTTGCCACATGGGAGAAGGGCCAGTGATGGTTTGCGCACCATCAGCACGGCAGGAGATCTTCTCGCACACCCCCAACCCGCCATCAGGCCGGCTGGCACCAGTGTGCTGTGGGGGGGACTCCTCTCTGTATAAACTACAGCTGAATTTTCTACTCAGTATTACACCCCCCCTTTTCTGCATCCACAGGAATTGCTTTCCACTGGCTGCCCCTCACTTTGCATCGTCTTTCTCTGTGCAACAGGAAAGTGCTATCAGGACCCAAGATTGTGTGCAGAGAGGGATGTCTGACCACCCGGCCACCTCTGTGCATGACATCCTGCTGGGTCAGGCGTCCGTCAAACGCTCCCTGTCAAGGCTAGCAATTTAGTAATCGTTGCAGACCCCCTTCAAACCAGTATTAGTGCCAGGCACCACTCCAATTGTATCCTATCTACGCGCCGGTGTCAGGTCTCCGGCAGCTTGTGCTCACCCTTAGGCGTTGTGGGCCAGCTCTCTCGGGAGCTGAATGCTTCTTGCTGCTCACTGTTGAGTCACCGTCTCAAGGCCTCTGATTTACAGGGTTTAACAACCGTAGATGATGTTAGCCTGAGGCTGGTGAGCGATGCTCCTGGCTGCACCGGAGTACAGCACAGCTTTTGATTGGGAGATGCTGTGGAAGGGTACAGAAAGGATGTTGCTCCCTCTGTCATTCTGCCAGGATTTTGGCTAGAGATTGGTCCCTTGCAGGCAGAGGGTCTGTTAGTGTGGGACTTGAGCTGTCTGACATGTCAGGCATCTTTGCTGTCCTGTAACTAGATTCTTTTAAAACCTTCATACTCTTTCCTCTTCCTTTCCTCCTCTTTCCTCCTTGCTTCAGTGTATACCATGACCTTGAAAAATTGTGCCTTTTGCAATAGGACAATAGCAGTTTCCTACCAAAAAAGGCTCTGAAATCCAATTCTCAGTTCAACTCAACCTGTCTTGAGCAGCTTTCTCTTCTGTTTGCCTGCTAATCTGAACGAGGTGAGTTTATTTTTAAATGCAGACAGCAGAGCCTTCCCATCCCTGTGTGAAGGTGGCTTTTGGTCTTTGGCAGGAGCTCTGCAGAGGCAGCTCGTGTGACAGGAGAGGTAGAGATATTAAGAGATGACACCAGGGGAAGAGCAGGCCAAGTCTTCCAAGATGAAATACTGGATAAAGGCAATATGCTCCAAGTCTGAGGTTGGAGAAGCAGGCTGTTGGGGCAGGAGCTATGAGGAGAAAAGGAGATTTGGTGTTGTGGTCATTGACAGCGTGTGGGCACATTTAGCCTGTATATCGTATGAGGAGAAGGATTCTTTACCTGGGAAGAGGGCAGCTATGAGCCTTTCATTCCTACCTGCCCTTGCCCCTAGTAGGAAGTAATCTGGGGTTTTGCACTTCTCTACCCGTGTCTTTGTGTTCCTCCTCCCTACGTGTGTCTCAGGTATGGGGACTTTGCTTCTGGTGTAAGATGTGAGGGTCTGAGGGAAGGTGTTTCTCCCATTTCAGAAAGCACCAGAAACCTCTCTCTGCCTATATTACCAAAAGATCCCATGGCCTGAGAACTAGACTCCCTTTCTGGGTGCCTGTCTTTCATGGAGAAGCTCTCCCTTTACCTGAAAGTGATCAGGGAGGAGCTGTGGGCGGCTGGAAAGCAGCCCAGTGTCAGAAGATCGGCGTGGCACAGGACGGAGGGCTGGGAGAAGGGGCAGTCCCACCGACGGGCAGGGATGCTGAGGGGGACATTAATAAGGGGGAGCGTAGAGCCAAAATCTCACACCAGAGCCAGGGGCCCACGCTGGCTCTCTGCTCCCTGAAAAACAGCTGCTCCCTGGGATTTCTCCCCATCAGCGACCGGCAGTGTAGGTGCTCCCCACACACAAGTGCCAATGTTTATAAGGATCTTGCTGCCCCCCCTCCCTGCCTTCTCCCCCTCCTCTTCCGTTGCGTTTCACCGTCTCCCTAATCCTCCCCTCTGCCTTAGTCAGCTCTGCCTTTCTTCCTCCAAAGCTTGAATGTTTTGCACTTTATATATTGCAGTTAATCTCAGAGCCACAGCGGGCTGTATCGGGTGTACGGCCTTTTCAGCAATACGTGCTTCCTCCCATGACCTGCCTCCCTTGCGGCAGAGCAGCACAGTCCCCGAACTGCCTTCCGTCACGGGAGCCCGTGCCATCTCGGAGGAGAGCTCAAGAGTTCTTGCCTTGACTTTGTGATAGCAGAGCATCTCCAAAGGCCGAGGCGCAGGCACAGCAGGGGTACCTTGGCATCGACACGACACGGGGGGCTACAGCAGAAAACAAGTGGTGACAACAGCCGAGGTCGCCCTGATGCTTCGTGTCTGTTCTCGAGCGTTTAGAAGTCCTGAGGTACCTACAAACGACGACTCGTGCTTAAGAAAAGGCAACTTAAAGATGCCTCTGTCTTCGTTCTCTCTTTCTCCACCCCACTGTCCTGCAAATGTGGGGTTTTTTTGACCCCACTGCCGTTTTTGTTCTCTGCATAAGGGCAAGCAAGCTTTGGCACACCACGCAACAGCGCTGAAGCCGGAGTCTGTATAATTTCTTTTTTTGTTAAAACCTGAAAGAAATGGTTTTGAGGCCCTAGGTATTTTCTCTTAGACGGGAGGGGGAGGGATGAGAAAAAGAAGGGGGGAGGAAATGTTCTCAAGTTGCTCATGTCCCAAATGTACATATTTAATGATTTAGCAAAACCAGGGAGGTGAGCAGCACTTCTGGGCAGCGTGCAGGGAAACACCCCGAGATCTGTCGCTCTTTGCTGCACTGAGCAGGCGAAAGGGTTTTAATGGGCCAGGGGCGGCTTTTCACTCATTCTGTTCTAAACACAGCCATAACAATTACTCTTTATTTGTGCCTCCTGGCCTGTCTTTCTCTTTCCGTGCTCAAGCTGTTTCACAAGGTCTTCCGCAGGGCGCTGTTGCTCACAGCTCTGCTCTGCTTTTGTTGTCGGCCCGCAACTGGGCTTCTTGCTTTTAAAGAACTCTGGCCAAGTGATTTATTTTTGCCTTGGCTGGCCCTTCTGTCCCGGAGTCACAGGCCAGAGGAACGGCCAAGGTATATCCTTAAACTGGAACAAACCTGAAGGGATGTGGATACTGAAGCGTCGCGTAGACTCAGCCTTATGACTCGTCTGTGAAGAAACCGCCGTGTGGTTTGTGTTATAAAACGTGGGGTGGAAAAACATCCCGAAATGGGAAAGGTAAACGTTGGGGGTTTGGAGTTGTTGATTTCCCTGTACTTCACGTACGTACGCAGGAAAGTGGGTTCTGTGTGTTTCATGTTTTAATAGTTGCAACTAATGTTTATAAAGAGCTTGTTATTTACGTTTTAAGCACTTTAAAAAAAAAAAATAAAAGTTGTTCAAGCTGTTCCTAGATACTTCTGATTTATTGACAACAGCGTCTGTGCTGATAGCACTTGGACAGTGAGTGACATTTATCTGTTTATTTTCTGAAGTAGGATGACGGTGTCCAACTTCTCCGGCAGCTTTTCCAGCATCGTTAACGGTCCCCAAGCACCCGCCGCCATGTGGTGGCTGCGGGGGAGATGGTGGCGGTGGTGCTGCAGGGTTACCTGGAGTTCTTCTCCAAATATTGCCTTTGCCCCAGTTGATTGGGGCAGCCAGGGGGTGTGTAAGCTCCTCTGAGCTTCCTTGTGTGTCCCTTGAGCTGGCGGACTGCAGGAGCTTGGGTGGCCACACTGCCCCAGGGGGTTTGGATCTGCCTGCAGCTCCCTTACTGCTCACTGTTGACTTTGCCCCTGCGCAGTGAGGGGGTAAAGGTTGTGATTGCGTTCCTGAAAATCTGTGGAAAATCAGCAGCTGAGGAGAGGAGAGGAAACCCCACTGCGAGGTGCTGGGGGAAGGGGAAAGGAGACCTCGCGTTGTGCCACAGATGCTGGAGAGTTGAACCTGAGGAGGCCCAGCTCCATCAATGCTGCTGCTCATGGCATCAGGCAGCGTTTCCCCACTCTTCACAGGCAGAAACCACTTAAGCTGTCCCCCTCCGTGCAGCAGACCTTGCTGGGCACAGCGCTGATCCCCAGCCGAGACCTTCGCCTCCAGCCCCTCTACCCTAATCCCACCCACCTGTCCCACCGCTCAGCTGTTCTCCTTCTCAAGGCCCGCTTCTTTCTTCATTCATGCCTTCTCCTTCAAAAAAATTAACTCCCCTTAAGCTTCGGTAAATGACTTTGCTGCCCCGACAGAAGAGTTTCGTTAGCGTTAATCCCCAGTTTATTTTTCCTTCAGCTGGATGGGAGGCCGTTACCGAGCTCAGCACCTGTCTGGGGGGATCATGTTAGCCCTGAGAGCCTGGATGGGCCGAGGGGGGGGGAAATGTTGGGCACGCTGCCTGGCAGGATCAGGGCGCTGAACTGTGACCCTCTGAAAGACTATCTGAAGAAGGGACAGCCCAAAATGACTGGGCTAGTGTGGGGGTCCCCTGGCTGCAGGGGTGCAGGGGGCAGAGTGGAGTGGCAGTCACTGGGGGAACTGGAATCCCTCAAGTCAGGAAAAAAAAAGCAAAAAAGAAGGATTTTAAGACCTTAGTCCTGCTAAATCTCCGTTTGTGATTATACCGGGTGTCTCTGCCTGCCTGAAAGCTTAAGCACAGGCAAGTCATTCCTGTCCCTGCGGGAAGAGCTGCCTGGGTTTGTTGTTCGAAGCCTGAGTTTTTGCTGCCCGCCCCAAGTTTTCTTAAAATCTGGCTTTACAGATGGAAGCCGACAAGAAAAATGTTCCTGTGACTTTCTCCCCGAGCCAGCAGGCAGCCCAGCCCTGCGCCCAGCTGTCACCTGCGGGGTGGCCGTCTGAGACCCCCCAAATCTCCCTCGCTTTCTAGACGAGCTCGCTCAATGTGTGGGGGGGGAGGGTGTCCTTGTACTTCCCTCCACCAAGATGGAAAGAAACGTCAGCGCTGACTTAACAGTCGTGGATGTGGGGAAGCACCCCCCACATCCCCCCCTCCTCCTCCTTCCCCAAACCCAGGGAAACGCGAGTTGTCAGTCTAAATGGATCTGGTTAGATTGATATCAGCCAAAGAATTGATATTCTTTCTGGTATTTAACCAAAAAAGTGATAGTCTTATGTCACTCCAAATGTGGTTTTAGATAAACAGATTCTCTCCCCTCTGTTGTTACAAAACATTTAGTGTGTCAACATTAGGGATTGTATCAATTATCTGGCTCTGGCTGCAATGGGAGGGGTTGGGGGGATTTCCCATGCGGAGAGACGGAGGGATTTGGGTTATCATCCATATTCATCGGGGAGATTTTGCTGCCTTGTGGAGTGCAGGATACAACCTTTAGAAACATAAAAAAGAGTTGCCTTGTGAAGCATTAGTCACGTCAAAAATGATTTTTATTCTTCCTTTTAAGACAGCGTTAGGGCTCCGAGCGGTGTTGGAACCCGCCTCGAAGAAAGGGAACCCGAGTGACACGCTGCTCTTGGGGATAAAGATGGACATAAAGATGTACCACAGGCAGAGGGACGAGAGGGGCAGCTGTGACACGTAGCTGCGGGAGCCGTGGTGGTGCTATGGGGTCAAAGGGAGGTTTAAGCCACCAGAGACCCTGCCCTGGCCGCACAGCTGGGGCAGCGGGCAGCAAGTATCTGACCAGTGCTTATAAATACTTGAAGGGAGGGTGGCAGGAGGATGGGGCCAGTCTTTTTTCAGTGGTGCCCAGGGATACGACAAGAGGATGCTTGGGGTTATTTCTCCCCAGGTGCAGCACCCTACACTTGTCCTTGTAAATTTCATTAGGTTTCTCTCGGCCCAACTCTCCAGCCTGTCCAGGGGATCAGCAGTGAATTAGCCTAAAACCAGAAATTGGCCTTGCAGATGGAAAGAGAGCGGGGGAAAAAAAATAAATCAGCACCACATCCGTGAAGCAGAGCAGCAGCAAAACCTTGTGATGTTTATCTTTTTCTCTATATAACAAAAAAGAATGGATTTTTCTTTTTTTTTTTTTCCCCCAGGTATATTGTTTAATTCTTCCTTAGCTGGAAAATCTGTTTCTGACCTGCTCTGTAATTTGTTGCCTTTACTTCTGCTGTGCCAAGCCTTCCTCTCATACCCTGCCTGCGTTCCCTGCTCCATCCTCATCTCCAGTCTATTTGCTGGCCCTTTGCTCTTCCTCGGAGAATTGATCCTAATCCTCCAAACAATTTCACCGGCATTTGAAGGGCCAGACACTTCTTATTCCACTAATCTAGGGAGGAGGATTCTGGAGATCGCTTGGTGAGCACCCCTTCTGCCCCCAGCCCCGCACGACCTTGCCTTTATCTCCACAAATCGTAACACGGAGGGAGCAGACAAATACGTCTGCATCCAAGTAAACTTATTATTTCCAGGTTTCCCATTCTTTATTTTTAATCATGTATTTTAAAGGTCAGCAGCAATTGTTAGGCTCCCATCAAGTAAGAATATGTATTTCCACAAGGAAATGATGAAATGTGAGGGGTTTTTTTTCAGAGGCTTTTGGGCTTTCACCTTTCTATGTATTACTGTTTGCTCAAACAATTTCAGAATTAAGGCAAAGGCCTGCTACCCAGGTCACGTTCCTGTGCATCCTCTTACCACCGCCCATACCCTGGCTGCTGTGTCAGCGTCACCGAGAAAACGGTGTTTTGTGTTCAAAAACAGAAGACCATTTTGCAGTGACTCCCCTGTGAAGTGGTCGGAAACACACACCACGAGGTGTACGTGCATTGAGGGTGGGGAGAACAGAGCTCTGTCACCCGGGCGCGGCTGGTTACCTCAGGCAACCTCTGCGAAGTTGCTAAATTAAACCCTTATTTCACAAAAAGGGGAACAGGGGAGGAGAAGTGGTAACAGAGGCGGGGGGAGGCTGCCAGGCGGCCCACAGAGCCCTCACAGAGCCCAGAGCACCTACCCCTGTGGGAGCAGGGGGGTGGCCCTGCGCTCCCCAAATCCTTTGGCTGCCCCTTTGAGGCCTCGCACTCCCCGCGCGGCACGGCCATAACTGCAGCCCGGGCAGGAAGAGCCATCTCAGGGCCCGGCCCGGGCGGGGGCACCGGGCAGAGCCCCCCCAGCCCGAGGGGAGCCGCCTCTCCCCGCTGGCCCCGGCTCTCTCACGGGGCTCCCACTCGGCTTTCCCGCCAAACCACATTTCCCGTCGTGCCCCGGCGGCGGACTCTATTTCCCATCCTGCCCCGCGCCGCCGCACCCGCCTCCCCATTGGCTGTCAGGGACGGAGGGGCCGCCGGGCGGTGGACTACATCTCCCGGTGTGCCGCGCGGGGGAGCTGCGGTGAGCGGCGGCCAATCAGAGGGCTGCGGCGGCGCCGGGGGCGGGGCCCGGCGGCGGGGGGGAGGCTGTTTAAAGTGGCGCTCTTGCGGCGCGCGAAGGGGATGGCGGCGCCGGCGGACTATCCCCCGTTCCAGCTGGGGAAGCCCCGCTTCCAGCAGGTACCGCCGCTGCCGGCGGGCGGGGGGGCGGCGGGGGGGGGGGGGGGGGGGGGTCGTAAAAATTCGTCCGGGCTGCCCATACTCGCCATGGCAACCGCGCGGCTTGGGCTTGGTTACTGCGCTGGCGCCACCCGGTGGTGAAATTCAGGTCCTCGGCCTATCCCCCGTTCCAGCTGGGGAAGCCCCGCTTCCAGCAGGTACCGCCGCTGCCGGCGGGCGGGGGGGCGGCGGCGGGAGTGGGGAGGGGAGGCTGGGACCAGGACCGGCGGGGGGAGCTGCGCCTGCATCCCCCGCTCTCCCCCAGCGCAGCGCCGAACCCCCCCCTCGGTGAGGAGAGACCCCCCGCTCCTTTCCTCTCTCCCCGCCCTCCCCCGGGGCGGGGCGCTGATTGGTGCGCAGCCCCCCTGCCATTGGGCCGCCGGGCCGTCACTCAGAGCTGCCGCCCCCTCCCACCCCGCGGCGGCTCCCGCGGCGGGCGCTGATTGGCGCGTCCCGCCGTGCCCCCATGTTTCGGGGAGGGAGCGCGGAGCCCTGGGGTCGCGGGTTCGAGCCCCACGGCCGCCGCCGAGGGGCAGCGGGGTTGGGTGGGGGTCCCGGTGTCAGCGCACGGCGCGGCCTGTCCTTTCCCTTCCCTCCTCGTAGGTGGGAGGGCTGGGCCCTGCCCCAGCGCGGGTGGCGGCGAGCCCAAGGTTGCAGGGAGGTGAGGAGCCGCTCCAGGAGGGTGCGGGGCCTGCAGGGCCGGGAGCTGCTCCTGAAGGGAGCCGGGTGGGTGTGGGGGCCGGGGCTGCTCCCGAGTGGGTGCTCCAGCTGCCTCACAGCAGGCTGTCGGCGCTGTGGGCTCACTCGGCTGCCTCTGTGGGGTTGGGGTGGTGAATGGTCAGGGGCTGAGGCCCCCACCAAAGGGCGTCGTGTGGGGTGTCAGAGGTGGCTGCCAAGGGAACGTGGTTTGGGGCGATGCGTGAGGTGAGGGGGTGGAGTGTGTGGCACAGCCACCCCCTCCTTGGTACCTTGGAGCATGGTGAGGAAGGCCTGTGGCCCACAGCAGCCCTCCCTGGGTGGGGATAGCTGGTCAGAGCAGCTCACCCCTGTTGCTGCCCTCCTCAGCCTCCATTCACAAGGTGTCTGCAGGGTCGCCACTATGGTGCGACTGACAAAGACCGCTCTTCCTTCTTGTAGAGCCATGCCAGGCTTCCAGTACAGCTGACAAAGTTTATAAAACCTACTTCAGTCGCTCTTGAGCTGGGTAAGACCCCTCTGGAGTGAGCCATCGCAATTAACAAGTCAAGAATGAGTAGCAGGAATCTGCTGGTTAATAGGTGTGTCCCCCCCCTCCCACTACTGGGGCAATCTCCAAGGAGACTCTTCCCACCATCCACACAAAATCTGTACGGGACCGTTGTTTGCCAGCCATCTGACTCGCTAATTGCAGCTCACAGAGCTTGGCTTGACCAAAGCCGCCTGTTTGGGTTGCTGAGAAGTCCAGTTGCCAATTTCTCATGGAGGGGGCAGTTCTTGGGTGGTGGATCTGTGTGCCTCTTCCCCCACTGCCTTATCCCTGTTCAGGAGGTCATGTTTGGGAGGAAGACCTCTTCCTCAGAGCAACAGATCCATCGTAACAAGGAAGGGGTGACTTCCCTGCACGGGGAGCCTGCTCGACTGTGTGATCTGAGGGATGCTCAGGCTAAGGAGACGGAGCTTTTTAATAAGGAGAGGAGGAGGAGGAGACGCTACTCCCTTCTAGACACCACAGATGATTCGAGGCACACTTGGCAACGAGTCAGGCACAGAATCGGTGCGTTCTGTTCATTAAGGAGCGACTGTCACTTGTAGCAACATTTAGAAAATGTTTCGAGGGGTATGGCAGGATGTTAATGATTGCGTGCGTGTTTGAGCAGAGATGTCCTGTCTCCTCACTGCCACTCCTGGGAGATGAGCCGAGTGCATTTCTACTGTGGCCCAGATCCGGGGTGAGAGTTGCCTGTTAACAAAAGCACTCTTGGGACTAGATGCTTCAGGAGCTTTTTGCCAGAGGGCCACACCGAGCATTGGAAATCATTCCCCTTCTCTTCTATAGTGGTTTTATTCCTTTCCTGTAAAATTTTCTGCAAAGCAGCGTGGAGGTCCAGTGGGAGCCATAGGATGGGTCATGGTGCCAGTGTCCTGCCAGCTCTTGCCCTGCACTCCCCTCTTTTTCTCCTGCTCCCTCTGCCTATGCATGAAACGCAGATGGACGGCCCAGTCTGGAATCCGGCAGTGATGTGGGGTGGCAGAGCAAGAGAGGCTCAAGTATTGCTGGGGTGTAGGGCATCTGGTCAGATCTGTGGTCGGCTCTGTTGAGGTTGGGACATGGCAGTTGCACCATCGTCGCTGCACATGTGGCTGCTTCCATCAAACAACTTGGCAAAGCTGAGGCCCTTCATCTCTGGGTCAGATTTCCCCCATTTTGACCTTGGTGTTTGCTACCAGACTTCATTCTCCAGTGCTGGGGAGGAACACCTATGTGAGCCTGAGGGACTGGCAGACTGTAAACACCACAATCCTTTTCTATCAGCTGTTCACTGCGTTTCCCTGCAGCTCTCTGCCTTTCCAGTTCTTTTGGTGGCCTGTTGCAGGGTTTTATCTGTTGATAAGATCTTGGCTTTAGTGATTCAGCTGACAAAGGATGCTTTACTTGTTTGGGAAGGATTAGTGATGCTTGGGATGGTTGTTTAAATTCTAGACATAGCCCCGTGTGATGACAGTATTTACTTTTCCTCTGAAATGCTGGCTGGGAGCAGGTCTGGAGCTATTAAAGAGGAGATTTGACTAAAACTGGGGCTGGGAGAGATGCAGGGAACTGTGCTAAGCATCTTTGTCCCTGTAGGGGAAAACAAGGAAAAGTTGTGTGTTAGGAACAAAAAACCTTGGAGAGCAAGCTCAGCTGCCTGGGGATTTGGTTCAGAGGAGACACGGTAGCTTCCTTCCCCTGCTGTGACCCAGAGTCCCCGGAAAGTGGCTGAGCTGAATTTAGGGCAGCAGGCAGGAGACGGCCATCCCCAGCACCGCCTCTGGAGATTATTAAATTTCCCTTTTCCCTCTCCCTTGTTTTGCAGTTCACTTGTTTTTCTTGATCTTTGGACAAGTGGTGTTCTGTCAAGTCACCTTTTCTTTTTTTTTTGTTGCTGTTGTTTCTCTGCTGGAAGGAGCCTCTGCCTCCCAATGGAAGCAGGCTATTTTTAGATAAAAGAAGAAATGAGGACATTAAGCTTGAGAATGTGTGATAAGAACTTAATTTTCTGACGCGTAGTCCTAATTTGTTAGGCATACTCCTGGTTTGGTTTTTTTTTTTTCTGGTTTGTTTTGTTATTTTAAAAGGATTTTCAAAGTGTGACCTCTTTTAAAGCCAAAACACTAAATATGTGTTGTCTGTGCTCTGAAGTCCCTGCCTGTAGTCCAGGCATTTACCCTGAGCAAAATATTTTTTTTTTATCAGAAGAGCTGAGGAAACATTTCCAGCAAGGGTCTGGAGGTGTGCATGGAGTTGATTTCTAACTAAGGGTGTTAACCGCTGGAGGAAGATAGTGCCAGTTAAACTCTGGTGTTTTTATTGGGGTCAGCTCTCTAAAAAGTAACATGAGGTTGTCTTGGGTACTGCAAGCACAGGGGAAACTGAACAAGAAGTGAGCTGACTTTCTTCCCAGCTTAAGTCGAGGGTGGTCATTTCAACAAGCAGAACTCATGATCATGCCTTGTCCCCTTTGCTAGAAAGGAAATAATGAGGAGGGGGGAAAGAGGGGGAGAAACAAGTCACAGATCTTAAATCCTTCAGGGCAAGGGGAGGAAAATAAAAGGGAATAAACCCAAACCTGAACTGTAAACATCTTTTATCACTTGAACAGCTCAGCATGTACGCACCGTCATGGAGTACATGATGTGCTTAGAATGTTTTATTCTGTTGGCCAAACGTGCCATTTCTATGGCTGCAATATTAACAGCATCACTAGAGATGTGCTGTTGTCAGAGCTTGACCTTGCAGATATTTTAAATGTTAAAACTCAACACGTGCTAATCTCAGAAATGTTTTATAAGGACATTAGTGCTAAAAATCATTATTTCCTGTACTTCGTATACTTTAATGTGGTAAGTTTAAAGCACGGCCAAGGTTTATTACCCTCCTTGGCAAAACCAGGTGCCTCCTATGTCCAGGATAACCCTTGCAATAACACACAGATAAAGACCCTGTTGATTAGATATGCCTCTCAGGAGCTTAATGGCTTGCTGCTTGCATGCTGTGATTGCTGAAAGCCCCGGTCCAGGCAACAGGAGAAATCAGAGCTGTATTGTAATGTTAACACAGAGGTCTTCCCTCGTGCTGCTCAGTGTAATGTTATTTCCCACTTTTTTAAAGTGAATGAAACTCATTTCTCCTAAAAGGCCATCATTATAGAGGAGAGGTTTTCTTAAAAGGCTGCAGAAGGATGTTTAAGGTTGGTTCATAACTGCTTTAACTTTTGTGTATGTGTAGGTCCAGCCCAGCGTGTACAAGCTGCTTGGGATGAGGTTGGCATATGCTAAATGGTGTTTGCTGTCGCCAAACGTGGCTTTCTCAGCCCTGAAGATGGGCTGACCCTGTTTATCCTATGCAATCTATTGGGTCCTGCAAACACATGCTTAAAGATGAATTGCAGAGGAGAAGAGGAAATACAGACACCTTTGGGTTTGATGTTTATCTGTTAACTTCGCAGAACCTGCCAAAAAAGCCATCCGTTGGCTGTTTTACATCTCTATATAAGCCAGGATTGGATTTTAAACAAGGAGTTTATTTGTTTGTGTCCTGTACTACAAGATGTAAACCCATAGCAATCCACGTGATGCCCATGAAAGGTTTCCATGTCGTGTCCCATCTGTGTTGATGAGCAGACCTGTCAATGCAGGTAACCAAAGTTACTGAGATGGAGGAGCTACTCCTCACACGCTTTTGGCTGTTTAATATTGTAAAGTCAAATTGAAAATATTGAAGG